GGTGTGGCTGTCTGCGGGCTGAGAGTCGGATGCAATGGTTCCTTCTTAATACGGCTTTTATGGCGCTCCCTGTCGGGAGCATACATAGTGAGACGTGCTGTTTGGTACGCGTGTTGAGTGTTTGTCGCGCCAGCTGTCTGCGCCCTCCACACTATTTTTTCGGCCTACTTGACTCTGTCTTGACAACCGGAATTAGTAGTGGGAGTGGTCATAGAGTGGGGTAGATCCGGCCAGTTTGCCTTCACTATTATTTGGCTGCAGTCACCGCGTGCTTCAACTCGTTGAAGCCCATAGTGGATATCGTCAAACACGACAGTCGAACTATCGTGTACATGTGTGAAACGATTAAATTTTACACGAAGAATCAGATTTGATGAGCTCATTCGGAACCTGAAGTATGTCGAACTTTCACGCGTGTGCTTCTGGAGCAGCCCAAAAATGGAGTGTTGCAAACCGCTAGTTGGTGCGTAGCACGCGTAAACAACCTGCAGATTTGGGAGAGGGAAGAGAGATGACGGTAGACTGTGAGGGCAGTAACCTACGGCACTCGATGCATATTCTTCACTGTAAATAAACTGACACCCCTCCAGGCTATCACAGCGAACTAAGAGCCATGACTTGGAGGTCTGTCGACTGATGGGCTTACTTGATTGTCATTTCAGGGCGGGGAGTCGGGCTAAAATTGCTCCGGTAGGACTGTCTTTAGAGGCCCTATTTCCCTTTGACCTATAATAATAACAACCTATATTTACATTTTTAGGAGACCGAATTTCCTTTTCCCTCGGCAAATTCCGCCAATATAAGGTCAAATTTCCATTAATAGCCACCAGCTACCTGAGCAACAGAAATTTATGTTGAGGAAGTTGATTCTTTTTAATTTATTAAAACAATTATAAGCGGCTTTAATTTAATACAGTTTGATCATTTTCAACACAATTACATTTTCATGTACACTCGTTAACCAAGAATGAAATGTTTAACCACAAATTTTGTAAGACAGTTGGGTAGGGGAATATATATGCAGGCGGCCCTAGAAGAAAGTTCTGCTATTGCTCCTTAATATGGCCTCTAGGGCACTTTCAGTCAGATATGATCCAAGACAACCACAGCTTGTTGCTATGAAAACGTAGGCCATCGTTCACGGATTGGGCGCATGACAAGCATAGACAACTGTCCGTCTTTGTAAGCCACTGTGTTCGATCCCGCCTCCGGTCTTTCTGACTTTATTTTGAAACCCGGCTTAGATGCCCGATAGAGGAGACAGTGCAGTAGGTGATGCGAAGACCTACTATCACTACAAGTAAATTCGGCACAGATTACGGTTCCTTCGCCGTCCATGCTGCGGAGCACATGATGGATCTCACGTTTCGCTATTTTCGAATTATAAATTATAATTTTCCTCTCCAGAGCATTTTACTTTTGGAAAAAAAATGATTCCAAATTGCCTATTGGTACTAAGTTAAATTATGTCTGAATCACATCACAAAAACTATCTTGCTCCATGACTTCCTTATTTTGCATATCATTTGTGCTATGAGTTTTAGAACTATTTAAGGACAAAACAAGCGCCCTTTCCAGAGGATGATGAAACTGTTCTTTCAAAAAATATATTGGAGATGCCAAAATACCTTATTTTTTTAGAAACATTTGTTTATTAGCATGGCGTCTATTCAAACCTTCATGGCGCCTTTTCTGTAGGGATGATTTTCCGTGCACACTTGGACAGTGAAGTGTTTACATATGCGCGTGAGAACGCTGGTTGCGATGATCTATTGACGCTAGAGAGTATCGGCTTTCGATAAAACCTAAGTGTGAATCCAAGCTAAACAATTCATTTATCAGAGTGTATTTTTGGCATCTAAGGCCTTTGCCAATAGCTCAAAGAATGAAACTCGTAGGAGGAACAATGTAGGACATAAAGGTACTTAGAAAGGCCTTTTTCGATGCATATACCATTGTAGTGTCAGTGAAATGTAGAACAAATCTCGCGTGAGGTGGTTTTAGACATACCTGGATAGCTGCATGTCTGTCATGTAACATCTCGTGACAACAAGCACGGTTGTAAAAGATCAGATAACAAGACGGATCGGTATTTATTGCTTCGTTCAAATCACACATTGCCAGATCAGCGGAGTCGATGTGGCATTTGTAGAAGGCACTGTCAGCAGGGAAAACACTGGCAGTTAGCATACTCTTGCCAAACAGTCGAAAAGAACATAATTTACTGAGGATATAACTTGACATACAAATCCTATAGCTTAATATGGATATCGCTTTATTATGAAACATATATCCTTACCGATGCAGCATTGCATGTGCCCAGCGTGGTTGAATTCTCAGAGCTTCAGTACAATTTAGGATGGCTTTACCGTAGCGTTCCAAGACATAAAAATATCCTGCTCTAACGAGAAACGACCACTCGAGAAGGCCGGGGCCTTGGGAATTTAGAAACCATCGGACGTATTGTTTCGGTTTTGAAAATTGTTGGCCAAGCTTGGGGTGTTGGAGCAGGCCAATGGCCCTTGAAAGATCCAAAAGGCCCAAATTAAGAGCGGCACTAGTTGAACGCATCCTCTGGGGCAACCGATCCTTTGAAAAATGTTTACGAAGGTTCATTTCGGCCCGTAACACATAAGCCTTAAAAGGAGAGGACCATATTTAAGGTACAAATAGCTGAATCTTCTTTCGAGCAGTTCATTTTGAGAATCTAACTTGCCTCGACGTTTTGTTCGTTTAGTGTGAGCGCTAACGAGAGATGTTTCAGGGCGTCCGAGTAGATAAACATCTTTCCATAGCACATTCCGATGCATAAGTGCGCTGTCGATTGTTGTATTAGAGCCCGTTCACTGAGTACCTACAAAAAAAATATAAATGAAGAGGATGAATCCGTTGATACCAAAGAATGTTTGTGAAGAAGAAGAGTTTGTGGTAACATGCCCGTATATACCGGATACGACGAAACTAGGCAAGATCTAGTAGACTTATGAAGTATTTCACAAATCCCACTTTTATCTTAACCTCCAACCTAATAATACCTATTTTTTCATCCAAGTTTTAAAAATCAAATGAAAATTAAACGCTTCTTCTTCCGTACCTACCGAAGAAAATCCCTATTTGGGGAACGTGCAGGCCACCGCATCGTCAAACGCTAATGGCGGGGAACCGGATGGCCATGCAATCATCATGTCCAATTCTACCACGTGTGATGAAAATTCAAGAGGTCACGGCGCGCACACCGGTCATTAAGCAATTAGCGCAAAAGCAGACAATTATCCTCGATAGGGGAGTCATTAATCATCATACGTGTGCAGCAGCATGGTGAAGGTATCCTATAAATACTGCAGCTCCATGTGCATGAATTTAACCATTTCTGCTTATGCCTCTGATAAAGGGTCCGCGATGGATTTCGTAACGTCAAGGGCATAAAAGTCTTGTCCCAGCGATCACACTTTCTCCTTCTCGTTTGTAAATGTTTCGTCTCGAATCTCAACAGACTGGAGAAAATGGGTCTAAAATCGTTGCGGCAACGGATGCCTGTACCACTTTCTCATAAAAACAATTGCAATCGATGTAGGCCCGTTTAAGGACCGTTACACGTTTGCAATGAAAGAAGATTCACATACCCACCGTCGCTGTCTATGTGAGCTGGCATTTTTACATTGAATTCGATCGTATTACACTACTACCTATACGCTAGCCGCACCCCAACTCTGACCCCATCCAGTGTAGCCTTTAAGGTTACTATTCGTTGTCGTATTAGGGAGTTCGCACAAGCATTCATTTTCTGCTTTTCATAGATAGACTTTTACCAATCGCAAACGACGATGAATACTTCTCTACGATAAATTTTACTGACCTGTGTGTTACCTGATTAGATTGTGGACGACGTAAAAGCATCGCTCGATCTCCCTGTCTATGGACGAACTCCCATGATTCTAAGGTTATATAAAGCCCTCTCCACCGGTGACGTACTCGGGGATAATTACTGATAAAATAAAAAATCCCGCATTTACGCCAATCACGTCGCCACCGGCGGCAATAGTATGACAAATGTCCGGACAGCAGACAACTTAAAGCAGCAAGATGAAAAACACGAACATTAGGACAGTGTCATCTGCGTGCACAGTGGTCTTCTCAGTCCAAACGGTCCCACAGCACGCTACGTTTTAGCTAGAAGCGGTAGAGGGCGGCTATCATTAAGCTTACGATAATCGAATAATTCAAATAATATTGCGTACAATCACATGAAGGGTGTGCTCTCTGTTTGCGTTTATTTACCAGTTCGCGGACAGCAGTACAAGGAATAGCTGCGCCCAGATATATTTGCTTGAGAAACTTTAATACTGCATGCTTCACTGTTATGGTGTTTGTCTTGCTAACAAGCGTAGAATGTGAAGTTCAGTGTAGCACGCCAAGACGCCTGAGAAACCTATGTGCTTTTACTGTTAGTTTGAAGAGTGGGATCCGAAATGGACCAGTGGCTTTGAGTCAGAGGCAAACGTATCCAAAAACATGTGGGACCCGTGTAGAATGCCAAGTATTTCCTTTTTTTAGTCGAATATGTCCAAGTTTTTCTAGTTACAATATTCCCGAAGACTCATATGGCCTTATATTCCTGACCTACGAACACAGAACACGGTGGATGCGGGGGGAGAGAAAAACAATGCTGAACAGAACCCCTCACAGCTGTGCTATGCAATGGTAGGAGATCCGAGGAACACGTAGCGGGGTTGCTCGCTAATACCTGGCATGGTGTACCATGCAACCTCAACACACACAAAATTAGGTTACAATGACTATATTTTAACGGGAAAAGTCGATTCGGAAAACACATGTTTTCAGTAATCTATAATTGGGCTTATACATTGGCATTGATAACGAAAATAGGGGAGTTGATCAGGGTGGCCGACGCCAACGTTGACGCAAAGTGTTGATCACATCTCGCCATACCCCCTGGTGACAGTTGTTCACTCCGTGCACTTATGACTTATGACCAAGGGCCTACGCCAACGGGTGCTAGCAGCAGCCGAGGCAGTGGCTATATGGCTAGCGAATCCATTGCTGCGTTGTCAGAAGACGCTAAAACTAGCCCTTTCACTTCCGTGGCCGACGTCGACGCTAGGTGGCGATCGCATATTGCCTCCACCCCCTAATGAAAGTCGTTCACTCGGCGCAATTGACAGTAATTATCACTCCACGTATCAGATCCATGACCAAAGCTCACATATTATCCTAATTTCCTAATCTCCTCCGCCTTTCCCAGAACAAGGACCTCTACACACCAATCTCGCCATGCAGACGGCTTGAAAACGATGAGTTGTAATCAAAAGACCCTTAGTAACCCTGTCCAAATGTACGATTTTCATTATCCCTGCAACTGTACTAACCTGATGATGAATTGCTGAGAAAACATACGTTTGCCGAAAAAAACTTTCCAAATTGTGACCATTACTCAGAGCCTACCCTATTTTTCCCCTCCCTCAGGCCAATGAGCTCACCATGCTGACGTCGTCATGCAGGTGGTGTGAGAGCGATACATTTTAGTTATAGGACATTTATAGATCCTCTTCAAGTTCCCTATTTTCATTACCAATGCAGTTACACAGGCCCGATAATGAATTGCTGAAAGTATACCTTTGTCGAATTGACATTTCAAGTTCAACATATAAATATTCACAGGAATGTTTTTAGATATATGACGCTGTAGTACTTTAGCATAATAATCCGTGGTCTAGCAGTCAGAGTTTGTTTAGGGTCAACATTTCCAGTAATGCATTAAAGCATACTAAGCATAATTCCGAAGTTTTTGCATTACAGAATGTCATAAGTCGCCTCCGCCGTGATAGCGGTGGGTTTACACCGGATTCCAGGAGTTGATGCTTACGACTAATGTTAGAGAAAGAGTTAGCTTAGCTAACATTAAAATCTTGGTTAAATTTTGAGTTACAATTGGACTATTCAAGGTTTATGCTATGATTGCGATTGCTGTTAGGGGCAAAGCAGAACGCAGACATATATACTCTACTGCAAATTGGCCTGATGTCACTTCGCGCACGTGGGTAACTTTTATCCGCGTCCAACCCTTTTTTGAAATAAATAGCCAAATCGAAATACTTATCGACACAATGATGTTAATTGCCTTCACTTTTGGCGAAAAATATGTTAAAACGTTAAGGAGGGAATTTCTACTTAAGCTCGCTCACTTTCATGAAGAGCTAAGTTAATTAAAGTGGCTTCAGATAATGGGGCTCGGTTATAGGTCATGACTGAAATAACCCGTCCTATTTAGTACGAAACTGACATAGGTTTGTGAATGGTAAATCCGGGTAGAAAATTCCTCGAACAGTTGTGGAATCACACCACTGCTTCAGGATTGGGCGTTCATACTTTCAAGAGTACAGATAAAATATATTTGCTTCTTTGTTTTAAGACAGCCAAATTATACTGCATTTGCATAATTTCCATCAAAAGGGGTAAAAGTGGAAAAATTTTCCTCTTAGTATACGTGCAGTGGGCATGCCCTCAGGAAAAATTAACAATTTGCGTCCGTTATTTCGATCCCCTTATCGAATGTACCACGTGAAGCCAATCCTCGTATTGAGGCCCTCGCGTGGGCGGACGCAGTATTCTCTCTGCCAATAGACTAGCCCATTCCGACTGGAGATTTTCTACTTGCGAGATTACGTGTTCGCTGACGCCCACTCCAGGATGACGTTAATGAAAACAGCAGGTATTTTTGTGAAGGCCCGCTAACCTCGAAGCAGAATTGGCAGCGATGTCAGCGAGACTGACTAATCACACCGCAGGATAGTCTGTTGCCGAGATCGCCAATGAACACGCACAAGCGTATTGCGTTACTCGAGCTATAAAAGGTTCTTGACTGTGATTACAGGCAGACACCACAATCACGCAGTTACCATGGCAGGTGATGGGCGTCAAGCAGGAGTCAGGGTTCAGTCGGGCTCGTCGAAATCACATTGCTGCCTAAAATTCGCTGTTACGCTTCTCACTATTGCTGTGATCGTCCTGGTCTGTATCGTCCTTTGGTTGGTTTACAGAACTCCTACTACAACCGATGGATCTGAACCCGGTAAGATGAACCGGTTACTGTTGTGACTAATGGAAGGATCGATATACCTTTTATGCTAGAATAGCTTAATTCTTTGTGCGTCAGAGGTCGACTTAGAAGTGAAATTCTTAGTTAAGCTTTATGCATTAACAGATAGCAGGTGATTCTGAATAAGAAAACGATAAAAGCGTTCACAGCGTCGTAAAAGAAGTTGGGCAGTGCCAGCAGTTTACTTAGCTTCTTCAATAAAACTCCCCTCATGAAAGCTAATTTAAACAAAGCAGCAAGGTTTATTCGTTTAAAATGTTAATGACGGGTCCAAAGATAGGTCGACCTACTCACGAACGATCTACTGGCCTATCTACGGAGCAATATACTTTCATACCATGACTGGATAGGTGAATAAAGACTTTCGATATGTTTTAAATCAAATAGTCGATATATTTATAATGGTGATTATCCTATGCTTGTACTATCTAATGTAGCCTACACGAAACAAGTACAAGTAACAAAGATGCGAATAATATGATTGTTCACATTTATAATTATCCTCTAGTCTGATAAATTAGGCTTTATATATACAACGATAAATTTCTGTCAGGTTCGTACTAGAACCCTAGTTTAGCTACGTCGAAGTCCCTTGATAGTGTGTAAGGGTAGCAGCAGACGTAACATTGCTACTGTTACACCCATTCGCTCGTTGAGTACGGAAGAATTCACTGGATATTAGACACATTTACGTTAATCTAGCGGGTAAGGAAGGTCCCTTTGTACAAAATATCTCCAACCAACTGTATCAGACTCACTTAGTGTATGCACGAGCAAATTAAAACGATTCCTTTCATAGCTCTACTCTCTCTTAGAGCGAGCATACCTGAAGTAGAATTCTGTTATTAGGCTGTTACTACCATCTAGTATAACATTGCAAGGAAACGGAAAAATGCTTGTGTAATTTGTTTTTTTTTATCTACGGAAACCTTTGAAATGGTATTAGGTTACAATAAGTGCGAACATGTAACTTTAGGGGAATCCCACTAAATAGGTACCATTTCGTTTCGTTTAAAGACGCTCTCAATAGCAAATTGATACATAAAGCGTGACCTTAAACAACTGCCCATTAATGTGCCGCATTAAAAACTGGAGGTTAGTGTTTAGCACGGGGTTGTTTTCTGGGACCATTTGATACAAAGTTTCTTCGATGGGAGAAATCAGAAGGCTTTCACTGGTGTGAATGAAGAAGTAAATTGCGCTACCTTGTTTTGATGTAAAATGTTAAGTCCAAGACCAACCATACAAATACGGGTTCCTACACACATTTACTTCGCAGTCTTTTGCATAGCGCAGATGTCCTTTGGCTTCCAACAAGTACTAACGACCGTAGAGATAGACACCGTCGTACGGTTGGCATAATTTCCTCCTTTACTTTCTTCCATATCATCAATTTTTGTTATTTATTTTTAAATCCTTTACATGTTAAATATGTTTCTTACACAAATGTAAATACTGGGGTCTTATCCAGGCTGCATAAGAATAGGCACAGGAAATAGTGTTTTCTTTCAATAAACATATGCAGGCTATCGTTTAAATGCCACCTAAAACCCAGATTCCAGCGTCACAAAAATAAAACTGATAAATTGATTGAAAATTCGGCATCAGAAGAGAATCTTTTCCATCCGTGTATCTGTGTATCCCAAATCTCGTTGGGGAACAAGTTTTGACTATACCGGCTTCCGAAGCACAAGAGTAGAAGTTATGCTGCATCTTCAGTACTTATTCAAATGGAATCCTCCTAAGTTTTAATTTTTGCATGAACTGACATTCAAAAGTAACAAAGCCGGTAACCATTGTTTGTGGGTAAAATAAAGAAACGAGGAGACTTGTGAAAATCTGTACATTAGAAGAGAAGTGAAAACCCTTACTATAAATGGTAATGACTGATTTGATATGGGTCTCAAGCTGGGTAAGCAGTAGGCGTAATCAACAAAATTATCAATAATGCACACAGTAGAAATTGTTATGCCTTATTAGAAGTCTGAATTTCAGGTTTGCGTGAGCAAATGCGCTATATATGTACATAGCGTCAGAAAGCGTGCGGCAGTGTACTACAAAATAAATCAAAATTTGACCATACGTAAGTAAGAAACCTTAGGGAGCTGTACAATAGTTTCAGTTATCTGTCTTCTCATATAATATTACCAAGCAGGTCTTTTGTTTTGTTGCATTGACGATTGTTCTGCTGATGACACCGTTGTTATGTTTTACTCTCCAAGGACGACACGCCTGCTGTCTCTGGTGAAATCTGATGGCTTAAGGAGTATAAGTTAACCCAATGCATGCTTAAGCCCTAAGTGATTTTAAAATGCAGCGTGACAGTTAGCATATGCGTGGTACGTTATTTAATAGCCGAAATATTCAGGGATTTTCAAACTTAGTGCAATCCGTCATTTTTCATGATTGGGTGAAGCTTGTGAGAAAACGTTTGTCAGCTATTAACCTTTTGAAAACATCCTATACAAACTATAGTCATCATTCAAACCGAAGAGAATTTGAGCTTATCATAAGACACTCACTGAAAATTAATTAATTATTCTATCGATACGGTAAATTACAAGACAAAATATTCCTCGTGCGTTTTACGATCCTCATGACATTCATAACCGCTATTGAAACAGGCCGATGTAGCTGCTGAAAATACCAACATGCGCATTCGAAAACTTGTTCTTTGATATTAAGTTTGCAGTCTAAATTTGCTGTAGATAAACTGACGACGTTGTTTCAAAAGAATGAAATCTGTTGCTGTTTGCCTCTTGGCATGGATAATGTACGATTCATTGGTGACTGAAATTATTTATTTTGTTATCTTAACTCACTGACATTACTTAATTTACAGGCGCTCAGTCGGCTGCTGCGAGGGGTTTGGTGGAAGACGAAGTTTGTAAATTGCCAAAGGATGTCGGTCCATGCCGTGGGGCCTTTCTGAGGTATTACTACGACTACGAGACCAAACGCTGCGATGAATTCATGTACGGAGGATGTAAAGGCAATGCAAACAACTTTGAGAGCATAGTTGAATGTCAAGAACGTTGCATGAGTAAGTAAATTAACTTCCAGTTAGGAGACTCGTCAAATTTACGAACTGATCAGAAAAGCCAGTCTTGAAAGAAACAGAGCATGTTAGAAATATCTATTGCAAAGGTTTACAAACGGCAACAGTATGAACATATTTTGGGTTTCCCTGAATTAGGGTGCTAAATTTTCCCACTGGCTTAGTGCAGCGTACATACGAGACAGTTGTGCGCTAAACTGTGTACATTGAAATTACAACTTCCACCCGATTTTGGAGAGACTTTCTTCATAAATGGTGTTCAACCATTCAAAATAAACAAATAATTATTTCTAAATGCATCAGAACAAGACACAGGAAGAATGTTTCAGAAGTTTTTTTGCATACGCACTTAATTTCATGTATTTGTGCGAGAAGGTTGAATGAAAAACATTTCAAAATATTAATTTCAATGATATAGAAGTTTTTATGGTGGTGTCTTATTGAATTTATTTCCAAACCACTGTGGAAATGGAGGAGGAAACTTGCTAAGTTTTACACGTTATGCTGTTTCAAAGGCTTGAATAAATTTAGATAGTCAATGCACCTTCCAATTGAGCTTTACATATATTATCGACGTACATTTGGTAATCTATCAGGAAAAACAAAACGAAAGGGCACTACGCACTCTGAAATATGGCCTAAACTATCCAACAAAGCACCAAGTTAATATAATAGACCTCCAGTTAAATGAAAACGCAAACACAGGTATCCAAAATCCTTTAATTGCTTAAAACTAACAACTTTTTAGGAAGAACAGAAATATCAAAAGAACCACACTCGTGTTCAATAGGTGTGATCCCCTTCAAGC